ATTGATTAACCGTTGGATAGAGTTCAAATTTAGAGAGAAGATCGTAACACGTATATCTAAATTTCGGCAGTTCAAAATTTTAAAACAACGTATGAGGTAAAAGTTATTTGCTTCGTACTGAAGCTGCAGATTTGGGAAAAAATTTCAGCTTTTTTATTCTTATTTATAAGCTAGTTTGTTTTGTGATTTGCACTTGTTAACACTAGTATGTGAATCACTTTAAGACTCTATTATATCCTTAATTAATTATCGTAGAATTATTTCTTTGGTCTGTACGGCTTGTGGTTTTTACTCTCATATTGAGGGGTTTTTTACATTAAAAATATTGGTGTTCTTTTGTGCCTTTATTTGTTTGATTTGATTTGTTGTTGATCCTCAAGGTTGCTACAAGTTTGAGGAGTTTTATATCTGATGCGTGATGGTCTATTATTGTGTCTTAATTTCTCATTAAATATGTGTTAAATATTTTGTTATGAGTTGTTTTCGTGATTATACCATTGTTGATGTTTTAAGAATACTATAATTTTATGATAATCCATGTTTAGAATGGAGTGAAGATATGTTTAGAAGTGAAATTTTTGTAAGAGAATCATAGAAAAATGCAAGAGAGAATTGATCGTCTTATTTCAAGTATAACTTGAGTTTCTTAAGTTCTTTTGGGATGCCGTCAGTTGCATTAAAAAGATAATTTTATGATCTTTCAAACTGGAGAGTTTCATAATTTTATCATAATTGTATAGTTTTTTGTGCTATTTTTAAGTCAAACATTATGTTTTAGAGTTTATGCAAGAAATATTTGGTATAAGGCTGAACTGAAATGAATTGAACTTGAGTTTCGTAACTCCTTTTGAGTTGCAGTTAAATGCGTTGGAAATAGGCTTTAATGATATCTTCAACTACAAATATTTGTAATTTTCTCATAAGTATATATTTTTGGCTCCATTTTGAAGTCAAACAAAACATTTTGCCCGATACGAGTACCCGTTCTTGTTGTTTGATTAAACTAAACTGATTGGTGTATTCAGTCCTAAAATAATAATCATATTCTTAAAATATACACTCTAAGTTTTCTGGAACATATTTATTTTTTTGATTTCGACTCTGTTTTATATTTTAAATAATTATGAGTATGATGTCTCACTAATAGGAAACATGATTTCGAGGTTGTTTGATGAGTTTAGAGTCGTTATTGAGTAGTTTTGAGTTGTGAGAGTGTAATTGGTAGTTTGATGTGTTTTAGAGTTATGTTGATAAGTTTAAGAGAGAGATTTGTTACAAGAGATTGTCAAAGTTACTATTTGAGTAACTATGATATGTTTTATAGTTGTGTTGGTATGCCTTGGTGTTAAGGGTTATTACTGTGTTGATGGTATGACACAAGTAATAATAATATTGGGTTACTCTATTAATGACTTTAAGGTTATATTGACTATTTTAAGTCATTTCAGTTGTGCAAGAGTCGTCAATTAAGTATTTTATACTACTTTAGAGTCATGTTTTTATATGTTTTGAGTAACTCTGACATATTTAGAGAGTTGTTTTCGAGTCGTTTAGAATCACGTCAGATTAGCTTTATTTAATAGTAATAATAATAATAATAATAATAATAATAATAATATAATATTATAAATTATAATATTTTAGAATTGAGTTGGAGATATTTATTCTTTAGAGTTATCATTAGAATTGTTAGAACAACCAATTAAGTTCATAAGAGTTATTTTTATAGGCAAGAGTTACAAGTAGATCATTTTTTAGCATCTTAAAGTTATTTTAGAGTTGCAAAGATTAATGTAGAGTTGTTTAAAGTTCCCTAGAAACTACGTTGCGTATAATTATATACTGTTATAACCTTTTATGAGTTAAGAGTATAGAATAAATTAACAAAAATACTCTGTTGAGACGTTTTGAGCATGTATGGTTGATTTTCAAGTTACTGAGTAATAATACAACTCTACTCAGTTATTGATAGTTTTCTAGTTATAACATAATTATTGAATTTAATTATTCTATGACGATGTTTTGTTAATTTTTATGAATTGTGATGATGATATGTTGTTGTGTGAGCATGGATTATGTTGTTGAATTGTGAGTATGTTGTTGTGGAATGATAGTTGGGGAGGGGAACTATTACCGTTGGATCAATGTGTATTTTGTTTATTGTCGAGAGGGGACTTTAAACATAATATTATTGTTGCATTGATGTGTTATTACATGCATTCATTATGTCGTTATTGTTGATAAAATAGGCAAGTTGCAACCGAGCAGGGTGGATTAATGACTTGTCCCGAATCAGAGCAGGGATTCGGGGTTCGAGCTAAGTGAACCCGGTTCCTAAGTGAAACAATTGTTGATAATATGGTACTACATGCATATGAGTCTAGTTGGCATTGTGAGTCTCATTGCATAACTTTAAATGATTAATTCGTGATTACGATGTGTATGATGATGAGATGGATGTTATAATGTGTTGGTGTCTTTAATGGAATATGCATGTAGATGTTTGTGATTCTACCTTACAACTTATGTTGTTTATGTTATTGGTGTGAATTTTCACCCCTTTGTTGTTGTTGTTGTGGTCTGTGTTTCTCTTCGGGGTACAAATAAGCAGGTAGATGAGTAGCTGCTTAGAGCTGGAGAATGAAGTTGAGGTTATTTTTCTCTTTTCTGTTTTTAAGCATTTCTAAATTTTCATTGCTCTGATCTGTAACACTGGACGGGCGAACATTGTATATTTTATCATTATGTTTGTTAATGGAGAGTTGGATGATACACTCTTAATGTTTTGAGTTTCATTGATCGTGGAGGCTTATGCCATGATTGTTTTAATTTAAGTAAAGTAAATTTACGTGATTTATATTAATGTGATGCACGCTTAGTGATGAAATTCCGTTGCGATAATACCTTAAGTGAAGGTGAGAAAGCGATGACAAGTGTAGGTGAATGCTTTATTTTATTGGGTATGTGTTACTGAACAAATGTTTTTGATGACGAGTAACATCCTAAGTGTAAATATGTGCTTCATATATGTTTTATTTTATGATATTAAGCATGGGGTTTTAGGGTGTTACACTTAAGAAGACTTAACTACTTGAGCGGGTATAGGTAAATATTTATGATGATTTAGTATCAAAGATAAATCTTTATCTTCTATCATTTTTATGTTTTAACATAACTTTTAAATAAAATGTTCTAAAAATTTTGCTCTCAACTTGTATGGCTCATTAAGATCGTTTTAATTTAGTAAGTGGGTTTCATTCACTAACGTACATGCGGTCATTCATTCTTGAGTATTGCATAGAAGCACGACATCCCATTTTATCTTAACTGTTGATCCACATTCAACGGTCGCTCGCACTTTACGACAGATGAACAAGCAACATTTCCAATTGTCTCCTCTATGTATATGTGACCTTGAGTCACTCCCAGGTATTCTTTACACACACTTGCAAAGTTATACCACATTCAAACACTGACCTAAACATTGGAGTGATAATATTTTACAAGTATTCCTCTATAATCATTAGATAACTGTAACCGTTGTACCGCAAACCTCACTACAATGATCATCTTCAACCTTTCATCTATTTATATTTTAGTGCATAATAATTACGTTGTCTGTGAGAATCATATTTTTATTCTCGCACATTTTTCATTGAATCATCTTTTGATTTTACACAAAATAAGGAGAAATTTAACCAGACACTTGTAACTATTGTTTATTGGCCACTAGGGGTATTAGTCGAGTGCGTGGTGACTGACTTCAGCTCTCATCCAAAATCTTCTCATTGTTTGGTTAGAAACTAGAAATGAAATACGAGGTAGTGAAATTGTCTCTTGCTGCGGTTTGACAGTACTTTCGATACGACAGAGAGAGGTGAACCTAAAAGGTTAACACTCTAATGCTCGTGTCTGTTAGAGAAATCATAAGTAATGTGCCTGTGATAATGAATCTGAATACTTGAAATAACGTGTTTAACTCTCAAGAGTAGTTGAAACCACTCACGTGTGATGCGACGTGTTGTACGGACAACTATCAGATTAAGTCGGACAGTGATTGATGTGTTGGAGCCATGAAGGTTAAATTATTAGTTTCTGGTTAAAACATATGTCTACTCGTTCTATACGTCTTTCAACTCGAGGTTCGCTATTAAACTTTTTGAAAACGGCTTGAACAAAACCATACGGAGGTTCAAACAATAAGTTAATTGAATTTTATATTAGGTATGATTAAAAAAAGATATTACACTTGATTTTAAATGACAATAATTCGATCGCAAGTCAAAATTTTTTTTTTTTATGTATAGCTTTATTACATTGTTAATCGATCATAAACTATTGCTTATATGATTTCAAATTATATTTAATGAAAGAGAAAAGAGGTGATGCATTAATAATATAAAAAAGAAATTTATAGTGTCAATCAATGACAATTATATATCTCACCAAATTAAATGACTCTGTAAAACTTTTTATAAACATCACCATTAAACCCTTAATAAAAATCAATATTTTTAAAGAATCTTATACTAATTTAAAGCGACTTTTACAAATCATATTAGTTAAAAAAAATGTTACAAGTGTCTAAAAATATTATTTAAGGAAAAAAAAAAACTATAGATTTTATATATTGAAAGATGTTGGCAAATGTCAATAGCAACAGCATTATATACATTTTTTGATGGATGCATGTAATACACATATTGAAATTTAATAACCACAGTAGAAAAATGAAATCTGATTCATTCCGCGTCAATACCAAATCATGAGCGAGAGAGTTCAAGAAAAAACTGACAAAAAAACTCAGAAAAACCAAACTCCTCCCATTCGCCATCACCACCAAAATACCTAACAATCAATTTCATTCTCGTTTCTTCAATTTTTGTTCATCTCAATCTCAATCGATGATTATCACTTCCATTGATTCGAATCGTGTTTTTGATTGATTTCAATCTCGATTCGTTATTCCTAATCGGTTACTTGATTCCGAGAATTTCGAGATGAGCATGCCGAAACCTAATCCAGTAGCAGTTAGAGACCTCGTTGAGGAAGCGAAGAAACGAATTGTGATTCTCATCGTTTGCGTTGTTGGACTCTCCTATCTCATGTCATGTGAGTGAAACTCTCTTCGATTTTTATTTTTTGCTTTCGTTTTACTTCAATTGAGAGTGTTTATCATGCAATCTCTTACTCTATGTTGTTTGTTTGGTTTCAATTGCTTTTTCTTGGTTTTGGTAATCACTTGCTCAAGTTTTTTTTGAAAGCGTTAGTTATTATTGAATTGTTAGCTCTGCTCTGCAATGATTGGTAGGATTGAAGTAACATGGCGTTTAGTGTTTAATGCATCTTGGTTTGGAACAATTAGTTTAGTGATTTTGTTGAAATTAATACATAGGATCGTTTCTATGTCAGTTATAAGAAATGATGATATGGTTCGGAAACGTCTATAAGACGTTTGTTGGAAGTTTTTGTTGGAACGTGTTCAGCTCGAATCCTATTATCATATTCTTGTTGGTGTCCTATATTTTTTACATTATCGGTCTCAGGGTGTCTGTGTCCGTGCCCTGTCCCAGTGTCTGTATCGGAGTTCGTGTTTAATAGGATACCACAAATATCACTGATTCACTGTGTAAGTATTTTGGGTACATCATGTACGACAATGGGAGAATTGAAGATGTTAGATTAGGGTGGACGAAAGGGAAATGTGTTTCTAGTTTAATTTGTGAAAAAGTATTACTTCAAGTTTAAAGATAAGTTTTGGTGCACAACTATTAAACTTGCAATTTTTTGTGAGACTTAATGTTGAGTCATGAAAAGCCAATAAGATGGTGTCTATTTTGCGTGTTCCCGTTTACAACTTCCATGATACATTGGGCTCTGTAATATCTAGATATTAGAAATGCTTGTCTTATGGTGACTTGAAGGAGGAGATATTTATGGACCAACCACTCAAATTTATGGCTTAAGGGAAGTTATGCCTTAAATACAGGTTATGTAAAACCTTGTATAGTCTTAAACAAAACAAAAAAAAATCACCTAGAGCTTGGTTTATGAAGCTTAACAAGTTCATTTAGTAGTTTCAAATAATTCTTTGCAAGACAGACAATCTTGTATTCCATAAATGCTTGCTTTGAATAAACCTGTTTATCTTGTGATGTATGTAGATGGCTTTGTCATTAGAAGCGATGGCCAAGAAGCCATTAAGAACCTAAAGCAACATTTATTCAATATTTTATAAACCAAAAATTTAAGTCACTTGCCTTACCTTTTGGAATTGCTGTTACCCCATCACATGCTTGGCATCTTGAAAAATACAAAGATGCTTGATTGTAAACACAGGACTCCTAGAGACCTTCACTGGGAGCCGAATCCTAACCTGGAAAGATGTAAAATGGGGAGGTTTTGTTATCTAACAGTGTCGAGTATTTTGCTTTCATTCACTCTTCGATAGTTACTGAATGTAGTTATTTGGATCCTAAAGTTTGTTTATACAAACACAAGCCAATTCAACGTTATTGGATACCCAGATGTTAATTGGGTAGGTGATGCAAGTGATAGAAGGTATATTCCAAGTTATTGTGCTCTTATTGGAGACTTAACCTCATTTAAGAGCAAGAAGCAAGTTATTGTGTCAAGGTTATGTATGAAGGCAGGGAGTCATTCTACGAGCTTGTCTGTGATAATCCATCAACATAGGACCTTTTTTCACACCCTATCGGTGAAGCATGGACACGATAGGTTATCGGATACAATCATCCATTGAAAATTTTAAAATACGTTACCTTTAAGAATTGTATATAAAAATTAAAATTAGATATTAGTTAAATTACTGTCTAACAAAAAATAGATATTAGTTAAATCACTGTCTAACACGTTACTAAATATTGAGAGTACCTGAGGGGAAATTTTGATTCTCGGGATAGAGAAAGAGAGAATAGGTATTAAAGGAGAAAGGAGAGGCAATTAAAATGGAGAGAAGAGTAATTAATGAAGGGAAAACATGATCCATGTATTGGAAAAATGAACACTAATGAGATTAACTGGCTGTATCTGTGACGCATCAGAGATGTGATGGCATATTGGAGTTTTTTGTTTGTTTTTTAAAATGAAATATTTGGATGATACTCTTTTGATACGCATCGAAGCGATTCAACTTATCTAGTGCGATTCGCCAGAGATTTTTGTGTATCCGTGCTTCATTGCACCCTATTATTCACTAGTGGACTAAATACATTGAAGCTGACTATCATTTCATCATAAAAGATTCTCTCTAGAATCTCCAAAGACCTGTTAGTTGATATCTTCACTGAATACTTATTAGGATAGATTATGCTGGTTATAGTTTTTAAAACTTTCTTAAAGTTAAAAGCTATTTGATGAATATTATAAAAAAATATTGATTTTTATCATACTATCATATAAATGAATGAGTATTTATAAATAAAAGATTAGTTATGAATAAAATCAAGATGCAGTTTCTATTTTGCTTTCAATTATATTATAGTTATAATATCCACATAATTGAACTAGAATGTGACTGATACAAAACATAATCCCTCGCTGTTGTAAAAGGGTATTTATTAGATTAACCTTATTATGATTGGTTCCAGTTGGGTGTTGGCTTCCCTACTGATGTAGTCCCCTCTGCCTCGATTTTCATGAATATCCTTTTCCCCTATCTCCGACATTTATTTTAATGTTTTAACTGCTTATATTTTAATCTTTGGTGGTTCGAATAGAAATAAATAGCTAGTTTACAAAAATAAAAAAAGAAACAAATAAAAGAGTTCCAAGAATAGAAATTAAGTGACCATTTCTTGTGAAATAAAACATGGATCAAGCGATAAAAGCAAATAAATAAAAACTACTCCCTCCATCTCATAAAAAGTGTCTCATTTGCACTTTTTTTGACTCAAAATATTTGTCTCTTTACAATACCAATACAATTGTTATTATTTTTTTTCCACTACAATACCCTTATTTATTAACTTTCACTCTATTCAACTACTCCACTAACTATAATTAATAAGGACATTTTAGTAAATGATACTAATTATATCAGTAGAATCAACACATCTAATCATTTTTTTAAGAACCACGCGTAGCTCAAACAAGACACTTATTATGAGACGGATCATTTTTTTAAGAACCACGCATAGCTCAAACAAGACACTTATTATGAGATGGAGTGATAAACCAAAAAGTATGGAAGATACCATAGATGCATGTGATATATATGCTTCAGGTTGGGGGACTTGGACGGTTGATTTCGACTATAATTATAATATATTGTATCCTTTATTATTTGATATACACCCTCCGTCCCATATTATACGCAAATTTTATTTTTTAGATTCATTGTAAAATTAATGTATTTGGTCTATATATAGATCAGATACATTAATTGTTCAATGAATCTAAAAAGTAAAATTTGTTTATAATATGGGGCGGAGTAGTAGTTTACATAGATAATTTGATTGTTGTTATTACTTTTGCACCTAATTTTTAGATATTTCAATTATGTCTACTCTGAATATATAGCTGTCTCGTTAAATCAATCAGGTTATTCGTCTTATCATAATCAAACTACGTGATCTTTCAATGAAACAAATTCTGCACTACAATTTGGCTCATTTTCATAACTTTCATAAACTTAGATTTGCTCGTTGGTCAGCCCTACTTTTGTGTTTGTTAGGTTGATCTCTAGTCCTTTTCAATAAAGTTCATAACTTTCATACTGATTATTGTTATTTCTGCTATTTCTATTGTTTATCTGCTGTTTTTACTTTTAGATATTAAATTGAACCTATCATAAACTACATACTAACTTCATTTAACCAAGATAACACCTCATTCCAACACTTAGAAACCATGCATATTTAGAGTTGTCACTTCACTTGCTAATTTACAGGTTTATGTTAGTGTTTTAGATCCTGGTGTTTGGCTTAATTTCTTTTGCATTTGTTTTTCAGTGACAAGCTCCTCAGTTTGGGTCAACTTGCCTGCTGCAGCTTCCTTAATTATCATTTTCCGTTATTTATCACTGGATTATGAAATGAAGAGAAAAGCTGCAGCATACAACAATAAAGCAAGCTCCACCAATATTCAGTCTTCAAAGAAGCATACCGAAAATCCTAAAGCAGTTGCAAAATTTGAGTGGCGAGCAAAAGTGAATTCACCTGTTGTTGAGGATGCAATTGATCACTTCACTAGGCATCTGGTTTCTGAGTGGGTAACAGATCTTTGGTACTCTCGCTTAACACCGGACAAAGAGGCTCCTGAGGAGTTGGTGCAACTAATCAATGGTGTACTTGGTGAAATTTCAGGACGCATGAGAAATATAAATCTGATTGATTTTTTGATAAGGTTCATCGTTACCCTTTTTGTCTCTGATTTTTCTTTATCTTAAGTTTAGTTTATTTGATTCTGGAATTAACTTTCTTCGGTTCAGGGATCTTGTTAATCTCGTTTGCACTCATTTGGAGCTGTTCCGTGCTTCTATCTCCAAGATTGAAAAACAACACACGGGTTCATTGACAATTGAAAGTCGAGATACAGAACTGAAGATTGTGTTGGCGGCAGAAAACAAATTGCATCCTGCTTTATTCTCTTCTGAAGCTGAGCACAAGGTTGTTTCACTTTCTTCGACGTGCATTCATGGTGTAATGGGGAATTTTGTTTTCACCCATGGGTCAAGCTTCCGTTTCTCATATTTCCTAATTTTGGATTATAATGTTGTGTGTATGTTTATTTTTTCAGGTTTTGCAGCATCTAATGAATGGTCTTATGTCCGTCACTTTCAAGTCGGAGGATTTGCAGTGTTCTTTCTTTCGATACACTGTCAGGGAGCTTCTTGCATGTACTGTAATACGACCTGTTCTAAATTTAGCCAATCCAAGGTAGTTGTCTTCTTCCATTTTGCTTCATTCTTGACATATGTTGTTCTCATTTTTCTTTTTTTTGCAGATTTATTAATGAAAGAATTGAGTCTGTGGTAATTAATAAGACCAAGACTAACAAGGGGGTTGATGCAGCTCAAGGGGTATCCCACACTAAAGCAGATGAGCCACAAACTTCATCTGACCATTTTTCCAAGTGTTTAGATCCTTCTGTTACTGGTGTTGAGCTTACACAGCTAAAAAACAGTCAATCCAGAAATGCAGAGACGCCTGCAGAAAGAAATGCTTCTGATAACCTTGCTAGGGACCCGTTGCTTTCAATTGATACTCGATCTTCCCGTACATGGAACTCTTTACCTGGAAACTCTCAAAGTAATGGTGACCAAGGTGTTCAACAACATCGCTCTGGAGGAGAGTGGGGAGATATTTTAGATGTCGTCTCTCGTAGAAAGACCCAAACTCTTGCTCCAGAACATTTTGAGAATGTGTGGGCAAAGGGAAAAAATTACAAGAAAAAGGATGGAGAGAACCAATCGAATGAGCGAGCCCCACAACATCCCCCAATAGAAAAATCACCCAAGGTAAATCATATTAAGGCAATATCTGGACCCAAAGAAAAAGTTACTAGATTGAAGCTTAATTCCTCTACAGGATGTGACACTAATTCTGGATACAGCAGGCAATTAACTGTTGAAAATCCAACCTTTCGTACAGACAAAAATGGATCAACTCGTTCTTCAGTTACCTCGTATAAAGCTGATGAACACAACCACATTAATATGCATACCAGTGAATCAGAGAGCAATACTTCATATACTTCTGAAGATGATGAAACTAGTAATGTTACAGGTCTAGGTTCCCCTGGAACTAAGGTTTGGGATGGAAGAAGTATCAGAAACCAGGCTGTTTCATATGTTCATCACCCACTTGAAAATTTTGATAATCACAGTACAAAGAAAAGGAATAAAAACCGTTCCCGCTACCCGAGACCATTCAGAAGTCAATCTGGCAGTAAAAGGTCTAGATCAAGCGATCACAAGACACAGATGTGGCAGGAAGTTGAGAGATCAAGTTTTTTATCTGGTGATGGTCAAGACATACTTGGCTCTTCAAAATCACATGTGAATTCTGACGAGTCCTCCGATGAGGTTGATTTTGAAAGTTTGGGTAGAATTTATAGTGGAGCAGCTGCCTCTTCTTCATCCTCTATATCTAAACCAGAATCTTGTAGTTTGGTTGTTAATCCTCTGATAAGTTCTTCCGTAGATTCCTTTTACAAGTTGAGATGTGAGGTACTATTGATGGTGCTAAATAGCTTATTTAATCAATAATGAGTAAGTTCATATACTAATACGTTTGTATATGAAAAAGTGTAAATTAATTCACTGCTGCAGGTCTTGGGTGCAAACATTGTGAAGAGTGGTTCAAGAACATTTGCCGTTTACTCCATATCCGTTACAGATGTAAACAATAACAGCTGGTCAATTAAAAGAAGGTGTGGAGGCTTTTGCTCATATTTCTAATAAAATTTTATTAGAAAATATCTTCTGGGGTTTCTTGCTTCCTTTCCCTTTCTAATTTGGCTTACAATATTGCATGTTTTCTAAGGTTTCGTCATTTTGAAGAGCTGCATCGGCGCCTGAAAGAGTTCCCTGAGTATAATCTTCATTTGCCACCAAAACATTTTCTGTCAACTGGTTTAGATGTAGCAGTCATTCAAGAGCGGTGTGAATCGCTTGATAAATATTTGAAGGTCAACTTAACTCAGACTTTTTTAGGTTAATAGCTCACATTTCTTTGGTACCTCCCACTACCCAATCCGTGGCATTATAACACAGTCTTGGATTTGTTGTTTCTGTATCTGCATCTTTAGAAGTCACTTTCTGACACCTAATTGTTTCTTTGGCTAATTGGTAGGCTTGCATTATTAATGAACCGGTTCCTTTAGCCCATTGGTCAACTTTCGTTCTGTGTTTTTTTTATTTTGTGTGTGGAGTATATTGTCTGATTTTTGTACTATGATATTATTAGAGTAAGACTAGCATTAGCATTAGTCTTAGTCTCAAGACTGACACCTGTCAACTTGAGTGTAGACAAAACCTGCAGTAGCAAGTCAACCGGTTGCTTGTATAAAAGCAACACAGTTGTAGTAATTTGTAACTAACATTTTGTAGAATCAAAATTTTGTTAGAAACAGAAATGGAAATCATAACTGCTTCTATCAATTCTCTCAATTCTAACAGATATAATTGAGAATGATCAACACCATGTTAACAGCAGGATAGATGTTGGATATGAGGCACCTCTATTTTGAGTTGATACCTCCTTTTGCATCTATTGTACAGAATTTTTTTTTTCTATCTTTGCTTTAAATTTTTGGGGGATCTTAAAATATTTTGTTGACACATGGCTTATTGGCCCTCAGAAACTGATGCAGCTACCTAAAGTTTCAGAATCAATTGAATTATGGGACTTTCTGAGTGTTGACTCTCAGGTCGGATTTATTGTCCACCAGTTTCCTCTCTTCTGTTGTCAAGGTTTTTTCAGAATTATTTGGATTACCTCTTATTATTATATTCTATTTATTGCAGACCTACATATTCTCAAATTCTTTTTCTATCATGGAAACATTACCAGGTGACTCATTATTGATGAAGAATATTGATCATAAAGTTTTATTAACCTTCTATTCCCATCTTCTGACATGTCTTACATTCTGTCTTAATTAAAACTTATCTAGTTGGCCTGGACTCTAAATCATCTGAGAAGACTAAAATCAGTTCCCCTGTTTCTGCATCCGGAAGTGACCCTTTTGCCTTTCAGAGGGAAAACTATAGTTCTGAAAGTAAAGAGTCTGTTTTGCGAAGAAGAAATAATCCTGTCGATAATGGATTGAGGCCAAAATTAAATAGCATGCCTCTTTCTCTACCGGCAAAAAAGAATACACAGGAATCGAGACAGTCATTTGACAATTCTGCAAGCAATGCAGATATTCTAGCACGGAAGAGTGCACCTTCTTCCAATAACCCGCAGAAATCAGTGAAAGGAAGAGATAGGTCAGATGAGGTCTCTGATGTGAACCGTGATACTGCTGACACTCTTCCAACAGAGGTTATGAAAACACTAAATCCATAGATCTGTAGTATTATTCTTTTTTGTTATAGATGCATGGTGATTTGTTTATTGGTTCATTGCTGCTATCAAACAGAAAAATGGTGATATTTGGTTTTCAATGTTGTTCATATATAATTATATGCATGATGGCTTCTTGGTTCTGATTAATATAATTCTATGCAGTGGGTGCCACCAAATTTAAGTGTACCCATATTGGATCTCGTTGATGTTATATTCCAGCTGCAGGACGGTGGATGGATTAGGTAATTTGATCTTGTTCATTTCATTATAAATGCTGTTTGGAGTTAAGTTTCACCAGTAAGATCTGATCTTAAAATGCTTGCATTGTGTACGTTACAGGAGGCAAGCTTTCTGGGTTGCAAAACAAGTCTTACAACTAGGGATGGGCGATGCCTTAGATGATTGGTTGTTAGAGAAAATTCTGCTTCTCCGAAAGGGATCAGTGATTGCTTCAGGGGTCACACGAGTTGAGCAAGTAATTTTATGATCCCTTTTTTAAAATAAATTTTATGATGTTGATAGGTAATCATCCTTTAATAAGTTAGTTAAGTAGTTAGTTAGGGTATGAGATGAGAAGCTATAAGTAATAGAAAAGATATTAAAGCAAGCGGTTTTGGTGAGGGATTTGGAGTGGGAGAGAACCAGGTCTCTCAATTACCACCTAAGCTACAACAGTGAGATGAAAGGCTATAAATAGTGGAAATGGGAGATTAGAGCGGGTATGTTTATGGGAAGGGATTAAGTGTGGGAGGGAACCAGTTGTCTCAAATACATGGACTGTAGTAGAGATTTATTATCAACTAACACTATTTTCTTCTCTAATTGGGTTTCGTTCTCATCAGATTGGTATCAGAGCTCCATTGAGTAATTGTGGGGAGAGGTTAACAGCAAGATCCATTGTGTCAACAAGAATGGACGCTAGACTAGTGTAGTCAATAGTGCCATAGCAGCGTTGCGGGGAGGCCCGTGCTCACTACATAATAAGTTGTTTAGCGTTCTAGCTGTAGCAGCCGAAATAGCGATTGTTGCACTCCACTCCACTATCTGATTTTGGGATTGGTAACATTGGGCTAGATTAGATACAATAGCGAGAACATGTGAAACCCAGATATGTACTACAGCACGACGGCAGGGAGATTGTTAGTAGATTCCTATTACAAAGGTGTGTGTTAAGTGCAGGCCCAAAAACTTAGTCTGTAAGGTTTTGTTTGGGAGTTTGGAGGCCCAAAAACTAGGACTGTAAGGTTTTGTTTGGGAGTTTGGAGGAGAGGGCTTTTGGAGGAGGGGAGGAGAGGAAATAGAATGAAATATTATACCTTATTTGAAAGAATGATTTTGTAATGAGCGATAAAAATATGTTTATGATTAATATAAGTTTAACTTCCGAGTATTATAGTAACATAGATTAGATTTGAAGAATTTATCTAAACTCTCAAAAATCCTCAAAATTTTAGCTCTTGTATTATGTAGAAAAATACTCCCCAATGCTCTTCATTCCTTCCGATTACTCTTTTCTTTTTTCTAAAACCCTCTCCTCCCAAACAGATTTCAAGTGTAACAGTGTTTTCCTATAATGAAAAGTGAAAACCTTATTTTCTATCATTTGATCCAGTTTTTATAATATGTTTTTAAAATGTTTTCATCATTTAAATTTCTCTCACTTTGATGAAATTATGTGTTTCAATTTATACTATAAATTCCTGATAATCTTTGGATGCAACAATGCAGTTTTAATTAGTATTATGGTCCAGATTATACTCCGGAAGTTGCTTAGATATAGACATAGTGTACTTATAAGGTGTTGTGACTGCAATTTTAATAGATACTCTGGCCTGATGGAATTTTCTTAACCAAGCATCCAAATCGACGGCCACCGCCTACCAGTCCATCGCAGAATTCACCTAAGAGTCATCAACCTACACCAGTATCTTCTCCAAGGATGGGTGATGAGCAACAAGAGGCAGATCGGCGTGCAAAGTTTGTATACGAGCTAATGATTGGTAATACCTTATACTGTTCTTATTCATCTTCGTAATTGTGTCTCTGCAATATCACATACTCAATTCTATAGAAATAAAATATATTATACTTAAACCAACTATCCCCTCTGTATAGATCAAGCACCACCAGCAATTGTAGGTCTTGTTGGAAAGAAGGAATATGAACAATGTGCAAGGGATCTTTATTTTTTCCTTCAGGTAAATGTTGTCTCAGATTTATTTCTGTGTTGTTAGTTATAAGAAAACCATCATTTGATCCCAATTTGAAACTTAGTCGACTTCACTTCCACTCTACTTGTGCTTCTAATGATTAGTCTCATCATTTATCAATGTTTTAGGTTAACTTCGTTTCACTTCAGGATTCTCAGGAATAAATTTGTTTCTATTAATTTCATTAAAATACCTTGTTTTTTTTTGTTGAAATAAAAAAAAATTCGTTGTTGAAAAATGAAAACCTTACTACTATGATCACGATATTGAGCCGTTCCTTAATCTACTCAACAATGGATGATTATAGTTTGAAACCTTTACAACATTTTGTTGTCGGAATGATCATTTAGCAATCCCATGTTGGGGCGACTGAATCAAATAAATTATTGTTCGGCCTTAATTGACAATGGTTATTAAGACTTTTCTTGATTTCCTTCTTGCAGTCATCTGTTTGCTTGAAACTGCTGGCTTTTGACCTCCTGGAGATGCTGCTTTTGTCAGCATTTCCAGAACTTGACGATGTATTCAAGCAGCTGCATGAAGAAAAACATAAATTTGGTGAGCTGGTAAAGTAAATATAGTCATTTTCGGCCAAAGTTTGGAGAAACGAAGGTGCTAATGTAGTCTTCCAAGTTACATTTTTGTTCTGCAATTGTTCCCGGGTGCCTAATTTATCTCTGCAACCAGTCTCCTTCAAGGTGCCAGGTTACAGATGAGGAATAGAATGCAAATCCATTTTACAATCTACCGCGTTGAGGCTGGCAGACACTTGTAAATTTTGAGATTAATTAAATCATTTGAAGATCATTTGCCGAATCTTTTTCAAGCCAACAGCTAAGTTTTTAGTCTAGAGGCAAATGTGTCTGCCTGTCAGGGTTTCTCATACATCTACTGCTGGTTTTACATTGATTTGCTTTGGTTGGGAAAATTAGTGAGATCAGTGATTGTTTCTTTTCAAAAAGAAAATCAGAGTGCCATAAATTTACTTTGGTAGCCAAATCATCATTTAACACACTTAAATACAACGTTCTGAAGAAATAATTTGGACTTGTATTTTGATATAAACAGTTGATGTGTAAGTTGTTTTCGATGGATATAGATAGAATTTGCAAATAGCTTCCTATGGATGTCAGTTCAAATCAACAAATGAGACCAATGAATTATACAATTTTGTCTAGCTTGGGATGCAATATAATTCATTATGCCTCAAGAATATAATTATGGATTTTAAAAATATAAGTTTCTCATTGAATAATATAATATTTTAATTTTAAAAAAAAAGTTGAATATATTGCTTTTAAGAAGTTTGTTAATATATATTTAATTTACTAGTTTGTGTTCCATTTATATTCTGTGTTGCATTGTTAGATCTCTCCTGATTCCAAACTTTCTAACTAATGCTAGATATACTGAGCCGCTCTAAAATCATTGTAGATTGCTATGGCATTAACCGAATCAGCAAACTCATGGACCCTTGAAACAAACTCGTCATGCAAGTTGAAAATAAAGCAGTAGAATTCAACAAAGCCACCACAAACGACTGTATTATTATCGTTGCTGCATGCACATTGTATAACAAGGAAATTGATCATTTCCGTAATTACTTTCAGTTCTTTTAAGTGGATTATCTAGCAGCCATTAAACACAAGAAAAAAAGATATTTAAATTATTATAAAAAATAAAATAAAATAAATATGCATGTAGAGATTGAAAATGGAGAAAATTTAATGAAAAGTCTGGTTGAAATAATCAAAATCCAGTTTAATATCTATTATCCATTTGGTGTATCGTCTATTCAATTTTGTTCATTGCATACATGCACAAAAGGTAAGATATAATGCATTGTCGTCTCTGGGTGGAAGGTATGTTACATTGCATACACGCACAATAACATAAGAAATGGTAAAAAAAACTAAGTCAGAAAAATAACATGCAAAATGCGCAACATATGAGAAAAAGTAAAAGAGTTGGAGAGTGAAAGTGAATGAGCAAAAACATTTGAGAAAAGAGAGTTGAAGAGTGAAAGTGAAGATTCGGTGGCTTGGTTAAGGAGATTATGAATGCTAATTTTTCTCCAAGTTGATTCCTTTGAAACTAGAGCGTGTAGGAACTGAAGCACTAAACAGATTCGCCCAACAATAACTCGGAGTAATCATGCAAAAACACAGTAAATCATAATCATACTCATTTGCAAGAAATATCCAACTCAAAAATTCTCATTGAACAACAAAATATCATACTATCTTGTTCTGAATCATAACACAATTACATATAAAAAGAGGGAAATGAAAACTAAAAATAGAGTAATGTTTCAAAAGATCATAGATCCAGCACAAAAATAACTCCACTGCTATAATTAAAGGCTTAAGCAGATGCAGCTGCTCCCTTCTTCCTGGGTGCAGCTTCAGTACCTGTTTCAAATACATACATCATTAAGAAAAACTCAAACATTACTTATAATACATCTCAAAAAGAGAATAATTCCTAAAACAAATTTTTGCTAAATTAAAACATGACAACCAAATTAAAACATAGACCAAAATTAATTAATGTTAACAAAAGATTAGCAGATACAACATGACAACCAAATTAACAAGAATAAATGTCAACAGTTTAAGTAACTATAACCATCATAACAAATGCATGGAAAAAGATTTAGCTGTCTAAATAATCAAATTAAGAAACAAAAGGACAACAGAAAAATAAACCAAAGAGATTGTCATGGTCATATAACAAATACTTACATGAAAATAAAGAGATTGCTATCTAAAATAACCATCTACGAAAACAACAACATAGTCTCACTAACTTACTACACCTAAAACAAAGAGAATCAACACACCTAAAACTTACACACTTAAAACTTACTACACCTAAAACAAAGAGAATCAACACACCTAAAACAAAGAGAATCAACACACCTAAAACTTACTACACCTAAAACAAAGAGAATCAACACACCAGAGGTTAACATTCCCATTACTATGCATCATTGTGAATCAACTATTTATTAATTAATTAACATTTCAATAATATTTACATATAATCTAGATAACCGAAATGCAAAATAAAGAAATTATACAAATCAATACCTTCTCTGAACCCACTCTTGAATCTGCGAGGCACATTACGCAAGTACCTCATCCTACCAGTCCCGGTAGTCTTTCTCCTAATAGCCTTAACACTCCAGTTATCTGAAATCATTTCACAAAAAAATTAAAACCCTAAATCTAAAATAAAAATTCTAACTTAACATAAAATCATTCTCAACAATCGAAAAAACAAACTCACATTTCCTGACACGTGCTGCTGGGTAAGCACATGCTGAGCAGCGACTCTTCTGGAGATGGAAACTGCGACGGCCACACCTAACACAGAGTGTGTGGGTCTTGTTCCTTCTCTTACCGAAACTACCTGTTCCCTTACCCTGTAATCATTCAACAATCGAAGTTTAGAAAACAAACATTGCAACAAATCAGGTTTCAGATCCATAGAGTGAGTTACTAGAGAGGAAAAGTTCAATAATCGAAGTTCATAAACAGAATATTGAAATGAAATTAGGTTTTTGGATCGGTAGAAAGAGTGAGAGAAAGAAATTTCAATACCATTTTAGCAGAAGTCGCAAACCCTAATCAGAGAAGCTGCGTTAAGACGACAGAGAATTTATATGAATTAAATGGGTCTTCGGTTCTTTTTTATATTTTTGGGCCGGGTTTGGGCCCGTGTATTTTTTTTCTTTAAAATGTTTCTTTCTGCACACCCACTTGGTTCAGCAACAAAAGATGTACCGGTTTCTAGTGGAAAAGAATCTTGTTAATATGAAATTTACTCGTAAAATAAAATTTTACAAGAGTCTTGTGGTGTTGTAGGGAGAAGTCTTTTTGCTTGGAGAGCTGGAATAGGTTTCGCACTCAGCGTGGAAATTATAGAGAACAAATGCTTAGATACGAGTCTTATCATTAAGATGTTTTGCATAATTTTTTTGACATGTGGCACTAAGTTTTTAAACTAGGGAGTGAAGTTCATAGAATTATACGTATTATTTCTTACTATTAGTTTGTAAGATTGTAATTGGCGTATGATTTTTCATCAAAGAATAGTTTGTTTTAGTTTTATATTCAATTTAAATCTTCTGAAAAAGTCAAAATTTATGTTAGCATTGTATAATTATACATTAAGTTTACTTTCAAAATGTTCACGAGTCTCTTCCAAGTTAAAGACAATCTTTAAAGGATTGAGATATAATTCATTATGATTGTGGTCCAAACATCTTTTTGATGTGGGAGACTCTGCAATGTAGAATTAGAAATATGTGAATATCAAATGGAAGAGAGTTTTGATGTAGTTGAATGAGCTTTCACTACGACGGAACGGGGTAGACCTGTAAGGTTAACATTCCAACGTCCAAGTCAGTGAATTAGTGAGAAAATAATTTGAGTGTGTGAATGAGGAATACCTTAAATAGCATGTCTTGGGTTTTACATTGTATAGACATTTAAAATCGTCCATGTGTGACTCAGAGTCTTGCGTAAAATACCATCAAATAAAATATGATGATGGTGATCCTTGGGCGGAAGGGACTGGATATTTGATCATTTGGTGTGGTTTTACTTGGTCCTTAGCTATTTCGTGAAGGTGTCTCTTGAGTTAGGTTATCATGCAATTGGCTCAATATTACTTATTAATGTGAAGGTTGAGATTGTCAGGTCGTTTTCATTCACAAATATGACATTCTCAATATTTGTAATCGTAAATGTTTATGAATTTTTTTTCTCCTCGCATGTATGATTTTAGTTCATCACTTATCTTCATGAATAATTTTGCTTTGTAATTTTGTCCCAAATGATTTTGTTTTTATCATTATATGTCTTGAGTGATTTTATTTCATCATTATGTGTTGTCAATTATTTTGTTTCATCATTTTAGCCTTCAATGATTTTGTTTCATAATATTAACCTTCAATCATTTTGTTTTGTCATTCGATGTATTGAATGATTTTATTTTATCATCATGTGTTACAAATGATTTTGTTACATCATTGTTTTGGCGTAGTCGACTCAGTCTCGAATTTGTGTTGGTCAAGTTGGAAGCCGGGTTTTACTTTGACATCTATAGGAACAACATCTGACCAAGGGTCGGTTCCCCTTTCTTGTCCTTAGTGAAAACGTGATTCGAGACCAACGAATCTCAAGTTCCAATGCTTACACTCTAAAATGCCTAGCTAGCAATAAGAGGTGTTGGGTGTTGCTTCATCTTCCTCGTGTTTAGATCCTATTGCATTTATCATATACCATATTTTATGCTAGATAAGATGATCACACAATTCAACAAAATTTTATTATATTACTTAACCAAGAGTGTAAAGATGTTTCAATTACCAATCTAATGGTGTTTTCTAATATGATATTGTTGTCGCTTCCCATACTGTTAGGTGACCTATTTGTGAACTATGTTGTAGTTGGTTCAAATGCAATCAGGTTTATTTCTACATGAAGTTTACGAACACTTAAGGCTTTAGTGATTTTTTTGGCTTTTAGGAGACATCAAATTCAGACATTTTAATAGACTATTTGGT